GCGCCATCTTGACGTTTCAGTAACTTCCTTTTAACTTTTATAATAATAAAGTCAACTCCTCGTTTAAAATTTCTATAAACCGATAACGCGTTAAAATGTTAAGCTTTAATTAAAACACTTGAAACATATTTGTTAAATACGCATTTATAAAAATACATTTGCATTATATCGAACGAGTTCAGAAGTTTCAACAAAAAATTCAATAGATGGCGCTGGTGTACTCCATTCGTCAGTACTTTACGATATACAGATTTTATCAATTTAAAACCTTTTATGATTTAATTGTTTTTAAAAATACAATTACTTGTTGCTTGTTTATTATTTTAGAATTCTTAATAAAATACGATCGTTTTCCAAGTAATGAACGAACGATCCTCTAATTTTTTAGTTGCCAAAATTTTGTCAATCAACAGGAATCGTGTAATATAATTATGAATGGTTATTCGGTCACGTGACTATGGTCGTGATCTTCACGCATGCGCGGTGCATACTTTTAGTACATTACTTTTGTGACGTCACAACAGGCAACCAAGATTTAAGGAATAGCAGCGCATGCGTGGTGCGTACGGGGCGCATTCATTGCTTTACAATGGCGTGCGGTCCGTGTATAGTGTATGTGAATGTATATTTATGTTAGCCGTTTTTTTACAAACTTTTATTATATTATTGAATCTTAATAAACGCGTTTGTACATTTTATGTATGTTATATATTCACGATATTTATAAGTCAGGCAAAGCCTTTTCGCCTATATGGACTGCACGCCACTGACGGTACGGGCATTCAACTTACGGCAATCGCCGCAAGGACGCCAGCCATTGTTCTTCTTTGGCGCCAGGTGCAGCGGTGATGCCCATGGACTCTCGGAAGGTTCCTTAGGTAGCTGTGCCAAGGGCCAGCATAGACTGGAACTCTTTTTGGGCGATCCTGAGCTTATCCGGCGCTAAACGACGAGGTGAAGAGTAAACTGGAGGGCCTGGTGTCGTGCGTATGTGGTGGACGGTATTGTGTGATGAGTAGTGTGGCTTACTGGCTGGTCGAGTTATTTCCGGAAACTCGTTGAGAATCTTGTGGTATTGAGTCTCACCAGTCCAGACCTTGACGGATGCTATGTCACTACATCTAACTACTTTGGCTACAGAGGAGACAGAAGTACTACTATCTAATAGGCGTTTATTACGGCAGTCCACAATAAGACAGTAGTAGTTTAAAAAAATTATATAGAATTGACGTAAATTTTGACACTTGTCAGTAGACATGCGCAAAACAGTGCTTCCCGAAGTAATGTGATATGGCATTGCATTTCGTACCGAGTAATATTACATTTTACAATCACTTCAAACATCACCTGTAATGTTGCATCATATGGTGAAATATGGAGGCCTTAATCACTGTCGTGATAGGTATTCTAATGCAATGTTCAGGTTTATCGCATAGCACAGAATATAATAGAGAGCCTTACCGAGTGATGTGCTAATGTGATGTGTCTGAACTGAATAGCCTATAAAATACGCCATAGTCGAGACGTAATTTACAAAAGTGTAATATTATTTACAGTTGATCTCCCTTCATACTTAAACCATGCGTATTCAAATAATACGGACCGGTTTTTCAGGCTTAGGACTGGCAATATTCGTAGATTACAATAATTACCTACTTACCAAAACTAAGTAGGTACGTAATTGATTATTAAATCACGAATATTGGCGTATTTAAAAATCAACTTTATGTACAATGATTGCATATTTACATATTTACACAAAATATACATTGATGTACGTACCTACGTATTTACACATAATAATATAGATTTATGTATGCAAGTAAATATTTACACATATACACAATAACATTTTATATATACTTTATATTTATATGCTGTAATTAATACAGCTTATAAATATTAATTCCGACAGTTTTTTTTATTTGAGTCGGGTTCGCCTCTCATTTAATGTTAGGCCAGCTTTTGAAAATACCCGTTCGCACGGTACCGACGTTGCTGTAACGTTTAGGCGTTTGAGCATGTATCTGTATAGCCGGGGATAGACGCCTTCGCGATCATTCCACCACAGCAAAGGATTTTCTGACCTTTTTATTAACGGTTCCTCTAAATATTTGTCGAATTCGACAATGCCAGCAGCGGTTGGGTTTTGTGGAACGAGAGCAGAAATTTCCTCGTCAAACTTGTCCCAAATAGAGCCAGTTTTCGGTGGCTGAGGAACTGGCACTTGCGTAATTGCCTCCTCCTGAACCGGTACGTGGGTTCTTTCCGAGCCAATTCTCAATTTTAGAGCAGCCGCAGCTTACTCAAAATTTCTTACGTCGCTGAAGCCATTTTTCTTGAATCTAGGGTCCAATATAGTCGCCTCGCAAAGAAGCGTATTATGTTCTACATCTCTGAATCTTTGCGCCATTTGTTGCTTTAGTGCGTTATGTAGGCGATCTATCTTGGGATGACCACCAGAAGAGTATTTGCCGAGAGCCCGATTAATTATTTTGCAAAGTACAATGTACTTCGACGCCGACACATTGCTCGCCACTAATTTCAACAGTGACCTCATAAAAATGTTTTAATAGCTCAGTGGCTTTTTCAATGATAAGCCAATCGTCTTGTGGTCAGGTTGATGTCTGGCCGCATAATTGCTAAAGTGGCAATTAGAGCTTCTCTCATCCTCAGGAACCGGCTTAACGCATCATACGTGGAATTCCAGCGCGTAGTCACGTCTTGTTTTAATTTTAACGGCGAAATATTCATCTGCTCTTGAATTTCCACCAATTTCTTCTTCGCTGGAAAGCTGCGATGAAAATATTCTATAACGGCTTTCACCCTATCCATCGTATCAGACAAGGCGTCCAAGCTACTTTGCACCACTAAATTGATGGTATATGTGCATAGCAAGGTAAAGATCGCCAGCTTCCTAGCCGCACAGCACTTAAAATATTCGCCGCATTGTCACTGACTATACATTGACATATTGCGATATGTTCCACTCCTGGAACTTCGCCTCCAAGAAGTCTTTTAGGTTCGCACTGGTGTGTCTCTATTCAAATTCTATGCACCCAATCATAACCGTGCATAGCTTGTGCGTGTCTGTGTCAATAAAATGTGCAGTGACAGCAATATAGCCATCGTGCACACAGGATGTCCAGGCGTCTGTAGTAATGCCAACAGCTGCAGCTTTAGCTATTTGCTTTTTCACTGTTTCTAAGACCTTGTTGTAGACCTTAGGAAGTAGGCTCTCGGACAGAGATTTGCGGGTCGGTAATATATAGCCCGGGTTTAACATTTCGACGAATTTACGAAACTCCACTTCATCAACCATGCGAAGGGCGTGATACCCCTTCGCAATCATACGAACTAATTGTTCATCGAGCTGTTGCACTCGATTTCTTGGCAGGTATTTTTTTTGACTGCACACTAAGCAACGGTATTTTTTTCATTTTACATTTTATTATCCATATATAACAATATATAATATACAGGTTCATACATAATATACATGTATGAACTCATCATTAATCTTGATATAACAATGATCACAATTTTACATTTCAATACAGTTCCTGGTATCAATGTGTGCTCTATTATAGTTGTGTTCATTTGGTGATACTCCTTTTTCTATCATAGAGTGAACAAAGTCATTTTCGTTTTGTGTTTGGCCACTAATTAAATATTTGTGCGTAATGGACTTTATTTTAAGAACAGTTAGGGCATATACCTGTGATGGCTACAGCGTCCCGTTTGGAGGTAGCTCCTAACACAATGGTTAAGGCTAAGAAATCGGTGGAGGAACAAAATGTTATTTTTGTACCCTATGAGGAAATTAATTCCCTTCCGTCTACTCCTCCACCTCCTGCTTTATCGCCTCTGCACACACATCCACCAAACAAAAAAATGTTTTTTTTTCCTCTGCACACTAAGCAACGGTATTTTTTTCATTTTACATTTTATTATCCATATATAACAATATATAATATACAGGTTCATACATAATATACATGTATGAACTCGTCATTAATCTAGATATAACAATGATCACAATTTTACATTTCAATACAGTTCCTGGTATCAATGTGTGCTCTATTATAGTTGTGTTCATTTGGTGATACTGGATTCAAGAGTGGCGTCAATAAATATGGTTTGCAAGGGTACGCAGTACCAAGGGCACCAAGTAGCCAGCGGTTGCCACAATCACCTCTCACATTTAGCTGGAAAATATAAAAATTGGTAAAACAACGATATTAATAACAATAACTATTCAAAAGACACAGCCTATAATTTTAGACATATACCTCGTAACTGAATTGTTAAAAATTGTTACATCATGCACGGATTCTGGCCACTACATTCATAAAATACAAATTGGCATTACAGACGCCTTGCACATTCAATGTAAAAACAGACTTCCTGTTTTCGAATTCTTTCTCAATATTCGAATCTGTTGACAATAAATTTTAACAATAAGTTTAGATATGCATGATGGTACATAATGTGAATATGCTTGCAACTTGTATCATCCATTAAAGCTCATAGAACAATGACATCGAAGTAGGCAGGAGCTTTTTACTTACTTGGTGATTGCATTAAATTCAAAGTCATCATCAACAGCCGGAAGACGTCCACTGCTGGACAAAGGCCTCCCCCTTAACCCTCCACGTCGAACGACAACTCGCCACCCGCATCCACTGGCTAATTAATCCGCATCCACACTAATTCAAAGTCAAAATCATTTATTTCAATTAGACCAAGACCAACACTTTTGAATGTCAACAACAAAAAAATTCAATTCGTCGGTAGGTGCTAAATAAGTACACACGCGTAATTTGTTTATTGCGAAAATAAATTACATAAATTAATTTAAATAGTTTCAAGTGTTATCCAGTATTAGATTTAATAGTAAAAATTACAAATAATATTAACAGTTACAACGTCTATGTGATATAATAGTTCAACTTAGCCACCACCTGCCAGCACATCAATTCACTAAGGCAACCTAGGCACTTCACACTCACCAATCTGTCCATGGAGGAGAGGTTATTGGCGAGGATGAATGAGATCAATGAACAGATTAAGGCAGCCGGCCCTGGTAAGGATACAGTGGCTAATGAAATCACGACAGATGTTTTTACTAGACTAACTTTAATCATAGACAACAATTATCTATATAGGTAACATAACAGATGGAATCGAAAACTACAAAAAGCATAGATTATTTTGATATTATTTTAACATCTCCACTTATCAAAATAATCTTATAATTAAATATAACAACAAAACAAAATTTTTAACATGTATGACTCCATGTATTGAAACAAAATTTTTAACATGTATGACTCCATGTATTGATACAAACAAAAAAGAAAATTAACAAATAAACACAAATAAACCTAAACAATACTTTGAATTCCTAACTTTTTAACAAAATCATTGTGTGTTATTCTACTCAGACCCTTTGTTAACAAGTCAGCAGGCATTTCTGTAGTTTGAAGATGTACAATTTTTACAAGGTTATTACTAACTACTTCCCTGACAAAATGGTGGCGTACATCTATGTGTTTTGATCTCTTATGAAACACAGGGTTTTCTGACAATTTTTTTGCACCTTGGTTGTCATTATAAATAACAACAATATAATTACAATTTACAATTTCTGATAACAAATTCCTCAAATATATGGCTTCTTTACAAGCTTCACTTATTGCCATATACACTACCGCTCAAAAGTATTTGGCCACTTGCACTTTTGATATTACCACCAACTATATTTCATTAAAAACAATTTTATTATGTTCTAATGTTTGTATTTCATCGTAAAATACTTATCTACATTCAAATAAGGTAAACAGCTTTTGTTATTGGCGAATTCCTGGTCGTAATATCAAGATAGTGTTATTGCCGGAATTTTTTTCAAAATTTATTTTAAGTGGCACGATCTTTTTAAATACATTTTCAAGAAATAAATAAGTCGGTAACGTGGAATAATTACTAGAGATTGAATAACCTTAGTTATTTGATGTCATTGGACCAGAAATCAGGCTCTCCAACTCAAGAATTGAAGTCTAGTAACATTTTATTGTCATTCGCGCGTTAAGTTTTGTTTTTTTGGTGAAAATGGGTAAAACGAAGGAACATTCTCAAGAGACCAAAGGCATTATAATCGGTCTTCATAAATCCGGTAAAAGTAATCGTGAGATATCAAGATTGCAGAAGATACCAAGGCAAACTCTGGACTACATTGTCAAGAAATTGCATCTGAAGGAACAATTTGCAACAGTCTTCGTCCAGGTAGACCAAGAGCCACCACTTCGAGTGAAGATTTGAATATTGTTGTCAAAAGCAAACGGAATAGACGATTAACCGCACCAGAAATAGCAGCACAATTCAACATAGGGCGTGATAAACCAGTGAGTGTGTCTACAATCAAAAGACGACTCCTTGACGCAGGACTTAAGGATGCGTAGCGGTCTCAAAACCACTTCTTGAAGCTGTTAATAAAAAGAAGAGACTACATAGGGCTAAGGAACACAAGAATTGGACAACAGAAGATTGGGAAAAGGTTCTCTGGACGGATGAATCAAAATTTGAAATTTTTAGATCTAAGCGAAGAGTTTTCGTACGCCGGCAGTCTAATGAAAGGGTGATGGACGCTTGTACTGTGGCTTCTGTTAAACACGGCGGAGGGTCTGTGATGGTTTGGGGCTGTTTTGGTGGCTCCGCCGTTGGAGATCTTGTACGGATACAGGGAATCTTAAAAAAAGAAGGTTACAAAAGCATATTACAGAATAGTGGAGTACCGTCAGGAACCCGTTTAATTGGTTCGGGATTTGTATTTCAGCAGGATAATGATCCTAAACACACGTCGAAACTCTGCAAGGACTTTTTAAAAGGAAAAGAACAACAAAATGTCTTGAAACTCATGACATGGCCTCCGCAGTCCCCAGACCTCAACCCTATCGAATTATTGTGGGATCAGTTAGATAGACAAGTGCGAAAATGTTGTCCTACATTACAGGAAGACTTATGGAGAAAGTTACAAGAAGAATGGCAGAAGATAACTAAGACGACACTGGAGAAATTAATTGCAAGGATGCCGAAGCTTTGTGAAACCGTAATTAAAAACAAGGTGGACATATAGATGAGTCTAAAATTTAGGAAACGTGTTATGTATAATATGTAAAATAGTGTTAATAAATAGTTTAAAATATTATAAAGCAGTTTCATTCATTCAATCTTTCACAAAATGTATTTTACAGGGTGGCCAAATACTTTTGAGCGGTAGTGTACTCGGCCTCTGTACTGGATAGTGCTATAGTTGGTGGTTTTCTACATTCATATGATATAACTGTACCAGATAATTTAAAACAGAAACCTGTATAGGACCTCCTATCAATAATATTTGATGCCCAATCTGCATCCACAAAACCTTCTAAATTTTTATTATCATTTATAAACATTAGACCATAAGATTTTGTTTTAAGTAGATACTTTACAATTCTTTTTGCAGCTTTCCAATGAACTACTGTGTAGCAATTATTAAATTGGCTTAAGTAGTTGACACTATAACTGATATCTGGGCGTGTAAGAACAGACAAGTACATTAAGCTTCCTAACAGTTGCTGAAAAGGATATTGCTTATGAATATTTTCTGATTTCTCTAACTTGAGATTACATTCAATTGGAGTATCTACATGGTTACAATTAGACATTTTAAATTTATTTAAAATATGTTCTACATAGTGCTCCTGATCTAAAGAAATACATCCATTTTCATACACTTTTACCCTCATACCTATGCATCTCTTAATTTGCCCTAAATCTTTAGTCTTAAAATTTGACATCAAAATACTTTTCAATTCATTTGTTAATACCTTGCTATTCGAGAATATAAAGAAATCATCAACAAATACAGTTATCAAAATTTGTTCCTTATTTACCTTTTTGCTATATAGGCAAGGTTCCAATTTAGACTTAGTGTAACCCTGGTTTATTCAACTGGTTATTGACTCTCTTATTCCACTGCCTGGCAGATTGTTTCAGGCCATATATAGCACGTCTTAACTTAAGTACACTGTTACTTTTACATTCTAAATTAGGTGGAACCTGCATATACACTTTTTCATCAAGATAACCATTTAAGAAAGCTGTGCTTACATCAAGATGGGTAATTTTAAATTTTAATTTTACACTTAAAGCAAATAATAAACGTAAAGTTGAATGTCTTAACACAGGTGAGTATGTTTCTCTAAAGTCTACTCCTTCCACTTGGGTGAAGCCCTTAGCTACTAAACGAGCCCGATATCTCACTTTGTTATCACTTTCGAATTTTTACCGACTTCAAAAAAAGGAGGAGGTACTATGTTCGGCTGATTGTTTTTTTTTTTTTTTTTTTTTTGTTTGTTCGCGCAGTACTCCGCCGTTTGTGGACCGATTTGGAAAATTTTTGTTTCGTTTTAAAGGGTATACTCCCGAGATGGTCCCATTTCCATGAAGTCAGGATCTGATGATGGGATCCTAGGGAAACCGAGGGGAACTTTCGAAAATTCTATGGGGGAGTAATGCGTCTATTATGTTTTTCAATTACGAATTTTAAACACTACAATTTAATAAGGGTCTGGAGTCGACCTGATGATGGAGCCGACAGACAGTCGAGGGAACTCCTCAGTGGTTTATATTAACTACCTTGTGTTTGGGCTTAATTAATTTGTATTGATGAGGACTTTACACCTAGATAGAGTGGGGCTGTCATTAAGGGTCTGATGATGAAGAAGTGTAATTGTTAAGGGAACTCCTCAACGGTATACAGTAACTACCTTGAGTTTGGGCTTGATTAATTTGTATTGATGAGGACTTTACACCTAGATAGAGTGGGGCTGTCATTAAGGGTCTGATGATGAAGAAGTGTAATTGTTAAGGGAACTCCTCAACGGTATACAGTAACTACCTTGAGTTTGGGCTTGATTAATTTTTATTGATGAGGACTTTGCACCTATGTATATTATAAGTAACAAAACGGGTATATGTAGCTTTACACTGAAAATGGTAAAATAATAAAATAAAAACTGCGTTTAAAAAACCGACTTCAAAAACCAAAAACTAATAACAAACAAAAAGTCAATACTAAAAAGCAAAAAATAACTATTATTAGTACTGATAGGTTACCCACCCACTGATAGGTTAGAAGTCGGTGCCATAAGCTCATAACATAATGATATAACTTAATGTCCACAAAATTGTGAATTAGATACCTATTAAGGTTTTAATGAATAATTTTGTATGGAACTTATGGCACCGACTTCTTACCTATCAGTGGGTGGGTAACCTATCAGTACTAATAATAGTTATTTTTTGCTTTTTAGTATTGACTTTTTGTTTGTTATTAGTTTTTGGTTTTTGAAGTCGGTTTTTTAATCTTTTAAACACCCACTTGCACTTAACCACTCTATCTGCTTCCTTGACTGACACTATTTCCCAGGCTTGGTTTTCTTCAAAGGCATGTAACTCTTCCTTCATTGCCTGTTTCCACATTTCACTTTCAGGACCTGTAGTTGCCTCCTCATAAGTGATATCTTCATCACAAGCCCCTAACTCATCCAAAACACAGAGGTTGGATATCCCATACCTCTCAACTGGTTTTCTTACACGCTTGCTAGTTACGGGTTCTTCTCCTGCATTCATATCACTTTCTTCTCCACACAATGTATGGTAGGAGTCATCTGATGTCACATCTGAACTAGATGTGTCCATTGTGTATGTAGGATCATCTCCACTCAACATAGTATCATTAATCTCAGTTGTTTCTTCTTTTTCTGGCAGTTGATCCTTCTCTTCAAAATTTTTTTGTACTACAATCTTAGCCATCTCGCAATCTTTTTCATTCTTTTCCATTATAGTTACATCTCGGCTTGTAGTAACTTTATTTGTTTCAGGGTTATATAATCTATATCCTTTAATGTTATCGGGATAGCCTACTAAAATGGATTTCAAGGCTTTCTTATCCCACTTTTGTCTTTTTATTTTAGGTACATGCACCATTACAGGACTACCAAAAACCCTCACATGACTGAGATCAGGCTTTATTCCTGTCCATTTCTGAAATGGTGTCATCTCTCCTAGTCCAGAAGCCGGCGACCTATTTTTTAGGTAAACTGCCGTATTGACTGCCTCTGCCCAGAAACTTTTATTTAGTTCAGCCTCAAAGAGTAGACATCTTGCACGTTCGACCACTGTCCTATTAAACCTTTCACATAGGCCATTTTGTTCCGGAGTGTAGGGGTTTGTCTTTTGATGGACAATACCCTTTGATTTCAAGTAGTCTTCCATATGTTGTGAGCAGAACTCTCCTCCATTATCTGTCCTTAAACTTTTAATTCTATTTCCAGTTTGTTTTTCAACCATATTTTGGAATTCTTTGAAAAACATAAGAACTTGATTTTTCTCTTTCAGGAAATATACGAATGCCATTCGGCTAGCATCATCTACAAAAAGCAAAAAATACTTGGCATGACCCAATGATTTTGTCTCCATGGGCCCACATAAGTCAGAATGGACAACTTCTAATAATGTTTCACTTCTTCTGTGTGAAGACAAGAACGGTAAACGAGCCTGTTTCGCCTCACAACATACTTCACAATTTGATTTAGTTATGTCCGCCTTCTCTGTATAGTTTATTCCCTCTACAGCTCCATTTTTCATTTTCTCGAGGTCGTTACTGTTTATATGGGCTAGTCTTCTATGCCATCGCCTTGCGTCTACTGTGTGAATTGCTGCTGCTGCAAGCACCTTCTCTGACTTCATTGTATTCAATTTGTACACTCCATTTTGTAAATCTGCTACTCCTATTAGCACATTCTGTTGATTACGGATATAACAAGCATTTTTACTAAATGATACTCTGTTTCCGTTTGCTATCAACTGGCTTACAGATAACAAATTAGTAGTAAGGTTAGGAATGCACAAGATATTTCGAACAGGTATGTCAAACTGAGATTCATTCACACATGTCACGATCTGTGTATCTCCTGTACACATTACTGGCATTGATGATTTATTAGCAACAACTATTTCTTTTATGTCTTGTACTGGTCGAATCCCTGATAAACTCTCCCGCTTCGCCGTCATATGAACACTCGCTCCACTGTCAATATACCAATCATCTATGCTGAATTCTCCATTTAAAAAGGCGACACTAAAAGCACTTGCTTCTTTTATTTTCTGTGGGCATTGGTTTTTGTAATGTCCAATTTTCTTACAATTGTAGCATTTGATTAGTTTACCAGTCGTCCCTTTTGTTTTGTTCGATGATGACATTGACGATTGTTTTAACTTGGCGTGTGCAGTGTTGCCAACCTTTGGCTTGCCTGACCATAGTGCTGATTTCCCTCCACTGCTGCCACATCAGAATTCATATCGAGCAGTTTTGTTTTTATGACGTCAGAGCTAGCCGATAACCCGGAATGTTCTACAGCCATCACCATCTATCGGGTAGACCCGCTAACAGCAAAGACCCAACCCATTCGTCGCTAATTTCAAAACCCGTATTTTTCAATCGTTGAGCTGTTTCCACTATATGAGACACGTAACTTGTCATTGTTTCACAATTGTCCAAGCGAATATTGATCAATGTTCGTAATAAACTTATTCTTCTGGAGAATCCTGTGTCATCAAACAATTGCTTCAACTTATTCCATACCGACGTAATTGTAGCTTCATTTTTAATATGTACATACGTATAATGATGGATCCATGGTCATTATTAGTTTCGCTTTTGCTTTTCTTTGTTCGGCTTCCGTGATCGTTGGCAATATGTCGTCTATGTCGATTCCCTCCAACACAAGAAAGTTTTTTACTGCGAATGACCAATCATCATAGTTCTCACGTCCTTTTAATTTTGGCACATTAACTATGTATCCAGCTGTAGACATATGGAGAATTATAACTTTTACACTACTAATTACTTTAAAAAAGAAGCCTGGGCCCATAACCTAATGAAATCACGACAGATGTTTTTACTAGACTAACTTTAATCATAGACAACAATTATCTATATAGGTAACATAACAGATGGAATTGAAAACTACAAAAAGCATAGATTATTTTGATATTATTTTAACAGTGGCCAAGATAGCAAAGGAGTTTCGAGTCTTCCGGGTGTTGGTCTATAAAATTTTGGGCACGCTTCGGAGACAAATCTCAGAGTGCTGCAAGTGTTCTGATGAACAGGAGACGCGGCACCGACGGAAAGATTTGGTGTTTATGGGTATACCCAAAGTTAAGGATGAAGACTGCAGTAAGGTAGTACTGGAAATTATTAACACCAGGCTACAACTCAATCTTCCATTGTCTGCAATCAAGGCAAGCCGTAGACTGGGAGCAAGCACTAAAGATCTTCCTAGACCAATTCTGGTGCGGTTCACAACCATTGGAAATAAGGCTTTGGTCTGGCGAGCTAAAACTGGTCTTCGGGGTTCTAAAATATCTGCGCGTGAGTTTTTAACACGATCCAGACAGGAGTTGTTTGTCAAGGCGCGCCATCACTTCGGCATGCGTGCTTGTTGGACGCAGGATGGCAATATCTTCCTGAAGACAGCAGACGGCACTAAGCATAAGGTAAAATGCTCTGGGGATCTAAGTCCTCTCCTCAGCAAATACTCGAAGGTGGTGGGAGTGCCGAAGCCTGCAGCCGGGCGTGGGGAAGCAAGCGCGGTGAGCCTGAAAGTTGTACGTAAATAATTACTTCATCATTGCATCGAAATTATCACCACTATCACTGTACACCATTGTTATTTCTTGTTATTGTCGCTTATTCCCCTTACCTTGTAGATTTGTTTGTATTTTTCTTTCTACATTGCTTTTTCAAGTGAAACAAGTGAATTTATTTCTGCAAATAGGCTACAAGGCAGCACTTTTACACGTCAATTTTATCAAGCGAACGATGAGGTCGACATTTCCTAACTGACTACTCTGAGAAGCAATGCCGAAACAAACTCAGAGGTCTGTCTCTTTCAAAGTCCAGACAATATGTATAATAGATTATGTGTGAGAACCGTGCAAGTTCTTTCTGTAGTGGCATTTTGAGGACAGAACCACAACAGTTTAAGCGAACCCGTTCTGAAGGCAGTACGCATGTGTCGGTTTACAGTCAGCTCAATTAACAGGTGAGGCTGACTGATTCGACGAACAATACCAACCCAAAGAACATTTGCGTAGGCCGCACAAATACTCAAACTGTCAGAATATGGGTAATTAGAAAAGAAGTGGTGAAGCAAAGTCTCGCACGGTCCTAGCACTAACAATTGTAAAGGGTCATGCTAGCTAAGGAGGAGGCGGGACGCGTGAGGCAGCGAAGCGCTGCCTCCTCGCAACCCAGCCATCGCGAAGGACACACCGGGCGTCGGGGATCGCGGGACGATCTCCGGCCACCGTAAGCGCGGGCCTGCGGACGGCGAGCATGGGTGGCTCCCCGTCCGACCAGAAACAGACCCGAGCGTACGGCGCGTCGCGTTCCGCGCGCGCCTCAAAGAGCCATCAGACCACCACAGATGGGGTCCAATAGGGCCGATGCCGATTCGGAGTCGCGGAGAACCTAACGGGTAACCGGGGCTCCGGCTCGACGTGCAGGAGAAGGAACGGGGTGGTTTTTAGTCAGTAAGAGTCTGACACTCCCTCCCGCCTCACCCAGGCGGGGGCAGTCATTCGATGATTTTCCCCCCTTAAAAAAAAAAAAAAAAAAAATAGTTGACTGTTAGAGAATGCCACTAGGCATTAAGTCCGCCATTGTATACAATTGCAAGAAGTGTAAATAAATAAAAATAAAATTTAGAAGTGAAGCTAGTTGCTCATTCCTTGGTGTAGATTCCTATGGAGAAGAACGAGCAAGAAACTCCATAGGTTACTCTTTTTCAATCGGGTTTACAATACAAATCTCTAGTTACATAGTTTTGTTAGTTCGATTGTGTGAGAACAATGCAACATCTAAATGCAGTCAAAGAGATTAAAAAAGAAAATAACCTTGAGGACCATAAAATCATACCGTCTGGACACCAGTCCCAATTGACGGCACCCGTTCACGAACATGACACGTACCCCAGCATCGCCCAACTCAACCATTTTGTAGGGAATCCAATGCACGTGCCACCGCCAATGAGATCTTTGAGTGAGACAACTCCAAGCTGACACAAGTGCATTCTACTAGTCTAATTTAATTTAATTAATTGCAGGCAACATTTACAATAAATTGTACAAAGTTTTACGCTATACAAACATTTAAGCAACATGATTAAATTATTACATAAATAGAATTCATTGAACATCACTGTGTTTCATGTATTATCCTGCGGAGCTGGATCAGCTTGCCTCCAAGTATTTTTTCCTCTATACCTCTATAATCATTTATTTTGTATTATGCTTGTCTACACAACATTTTTTAAATACATAGTTTGAATTTTCTTTCATTTAGATGCAGTATTTCTTGGGAGATTTTATTATAACATTTAACACCGAATCCCAAAAAGGACTTCTGTACTTTTGAAAATATAAAAAATGGCGGACTTAATCAATTCTTATGTCTAGTTTGATAATTGTGTCTGTCAGACACTTTACTAAACAAAAAACTAATTAAAATATGAGTTCCATCAACCGCTCCTAAAACACGAGGAAATCCAGGTATTCGGTAAAAGTCTTCTTCTGTATTGTTATGTATGTGTATGTAGTTTGAGTACAATCTAGCGATAGCCTGAGAGATATCTCTGACTGTGCGTGAGGCCGAAGATTTTGAATTATTGCCTAATGCATAAATCCGCAGTATCAGCAGTAGTTGATGTAGCGGTGAAATACCATGATTGCTGAAATAAAACAATAATGAACATGAATATCTTGAGTGTTCCTACACTCAAGATATTTGACAAGAAGACAAGATAAGGATACATAATTACAGCAAAACATTTAATACTGTTATTTTTAATGAGGATAAACAGTTTTAACTTTAGAAATATAGTTTTATTTAGACCAATACATAAAACAAAATCACTCGAAGACACGTAACCGGAATCATAGACAATAATACAAAGGTAGTATCTATGAACTAAGGTTCTATCATATACAAACTATTTAGTCAATAAACTAGGGTTCAATTTACAAATTTCTACTCTCTCACCAAATTTGAACCCTTTCACTTGAGATTCAAAATACAACCAACTTAACAAATTCTAATCATAATTAATGTTAAGTTTTTACATAGTACTAACAAACAATTGTAATTTCTTAACACCAATTTTATTCCTAAGATACTGATATTTATCCCTGGGCAGAGCCTTAATAAAGATGTCAGCATATTGTTCCTTAGTACAAACATATTTTAAATCTATTTGTTTTTCATTATACATTTCTTTAATGAAATTGTACTTCACATCAATGTGCTTACAACGCTTGTGATTGTCTACATTTTTAATGAAACAGATTGCACTTTGATTGTCAATATTTAAATATATAAAATCCTGGTTAAATTCACCAATATCTAATAATATTCTTTTTAACCACAAAGCTTCTTTTGTTGCAGAACAAGCAGCCATAAATTCCGCTTCTGTTGTGGATAAAGCAACACTGTGCTGAAGTTGTGTTGCCCATGTTATGGCAGCTCCATTTTTAATGAACACGTACCCAGTTAATGACTTTCTAATGGTAGTGTCTTTAGCATAATCTGCATCACTGAAAGCTTCAATTTTATTTTGCTGAGATGATGAATAACGCAGACCATAGTCTTTGGTTTCCTTTAAATATTTCATTATCTTCTTGACAACATTCCAATGAGTGTGATCAAAAAAATTGAGATATCGACTCACCAGACTAACTCCATACATGATGTCAGGTCTGCTTACCACAGCCAAATGCATCAGTGATCCAACTGCCTCTCGGTACGGAATATTCTTATCCACAGACTCAGTACTCTTCTCCAGTGTAGTATGTGGATCTACTGGAATATTATTGCAGTTAGCATCTTGCATGTTAAATTTATACAATAGTCTTTCAATATATTTTGACTGGTGAATAAAGATAAAACCTTCAGATTTTTCAATTTGTAATCCAACAAAATTCTTTGGATCACACTGCTTTATTTCAAAGTTATGCTTTAATTCATGCATTACTGAATTTAATGCATCTTTTGACTTTGACAATACTAGCCCATCGTCAACATATAATAAATAACAAATAAACTTTACTGTTGTTTACATTTCCAATGTACAAACACCTGACTGCATGACTATTGTTGAAACCAAATTTCTTCAGTGAGGTGTCAAACTTTTGGTTCCAACACCGTGGTGCTTGTTTAAGACCATAAAGAGAACGTTTGAGTTTACATACCATATTAGAATCAGTATCCAAACCTTCAGGTGGTGTCATATAAATGTCTTCTTTGACATCACCATATAAGAATGCGGTTTTGACATAAAAACTGAAAAATATTCAAATTATGTTGTGCTGCCTCTGAAAGTAAAATTCGTACTCTATCATACCTCACTGTTGGGAGCATATATTTCTTTATAATCAATGCCTTGCTTTTGACTACATCCTTTGGCGCATAATCTTGACTTATAGAGCAGACTCTGGCTCATCTTTTATTCTGAAGACCCATTTGCAGCCAATTACCCGCACACCTTCAGATTGCTTCCATTTTCCCTGGGCACATAACCTGTTATTTTTAATGAGGATAAACAGTTTTAACTTTAGAAATATAGTTTTATTTAGACCAATACATAAAACAAAGTCACTCGAAGACACGTAACCGGAATCATAGACAATAATATAAAGGTAGTATCTATGAACTAAGGTTCTATCATATACAAACTATTTAGTCAATAAACTAGGGTTCAATTTACAAATTTCTACAAATACATAAGGCATACATACCGTTTTGAAGTTGCTTTGAGAAATGGCATTATTTCAGACAATAAATCACTGACTGCGGTCTTGCTCAATCTAAATCTATATAATGAAAATCAATATCATCGTATCTATCAAAATAGTTTTTTCGCTCTTGTTGTAATCGGGTCACATCATTTTCTTCATCTGATTCCTAGTCACTCAGCTGTTCCAAGAGATCAAGATCACTACTTGAACTTGATGATTCTGACATTTTTTCGCAAGGTAGGTAGCCTACTTTATTTATCACAAAAACAATTAAACTAACTTTAATATCTGCAATGGTAACGACCCGTTATCTCCGAAAATCCGAGGATTGAATTATAACGTTACTAAAGATAATCAAACTCACTGACAGATAGGTGTCAAACAATATAGAGACGCGGCAAATGAAATTATCATACAAATGCCTATCCCTAGTAAGCTACTTGTCCTCCCGTCGATAAATAGCGTGCAGGGATAGGATTTCATATCGTCAATAGGTTTATAGAGACCAAAAATTTAAAGATAGATAACTCTCTCTCTATCTCTAGTAGGGCAAAACTGAATATTGGGCAAAGGCAAAATTGAATATTGGTAACGGCCTTAATTGTAGAAATAATTGTACGTCGTCTATCCGAAGTAGGCGGTTCAACTGGTGAATTTTCTCCACGATTTGAAGCCATTGTAGGCGTACCTATGTGTTACTATTTAAATTGTTTACCACGAACAACTGCAATGGTCTGACTTTAGCTAGTTTATCAAAATTTAGATTACTGCGTTCCAATTCAGTATTTGGGTTGTTCATATAAAGGTTCTCTATTAGTTTTTTGTAATCATCGTCGGTATTTTCTCCTTCTGATGACAGCATACTATGAAGATAAGATTTTTTGAAAATTTTGAATTTGAAATTTTTTGAACGTTTTGAATGAACGACCACAATTAATCAGTTGTATTTTCGCTTAGC